GCAGGAGTGAACTGGTGAACCCCCGCATCCTGTAGGTCAGCACCACTCACCAAGTTCGTAGAGAGCGAGGGGAGGTAAAGACCAGACAGGGTGCCAGAGGGGGCCGCCGGACACGGGAGGACAGTGGAGAAGTGAGCAAGGACAGGACCCCCAGAGGGGTCTGCCAGAGAGACTGCAACTGGCCGGCCAAGCGGCGTGAGTGTGGTGCGGTCTCGAAAGAAGGAGCGAGAAGCCCCCGAGTCAAGGGTGAAGGTGTGGGAGGCCGAAGCCGACGCAGTACCTGAGAGAGCAGACTCACCAGCACCTGAGTGAGCAGACGCACGAGCACCTAGAGCAGCAGCCTCGCTAGCACCTAGAGCAGCAGCCTCACCAGTACCTAGAGCAGCAATCTCAATGCCCGGGTCGGGCGGAAAACACCGGTAACAGTCACCCTCATCACTAATAGTCACAGCATACATGGCAGCAAGAATAGCATCAAAGTCAAGGTCAAAGACAGCTACACCCGCCCTAGACAGCTCGCCCCAGCGGGGGATCTCAGTGGCCTCAGGGAACTGGTGACACCAAGCGTCCGTCAGGCGGCCAAAGCAGCGCTGGGTGGAGTGCGCACCCCCGCACTGCTCACCCGCGCGGTCGCCGGTGCGTAGGACGTAGGTGCACGGACCAGTACCCCCACCCCGCTGGCGTGCAGCGTACCACTCACGGAGCTGCTGAGGGGGGGGGGTGTCACGAGTGCGCTGCTGCCGCTGCTGCTGCTGCTGCTGGCGCTGACCACCACCGGAGCCGACCCTCTGCCCAGCGCCACCCCGACCAGCTCCACCTCCTCCACCGCCGCCTCCTCCACCGCCGCCACCTCCGCCACCTCCGCTCCCACCGCCACCGCCGCCGCCGCCTCCGCCTCCACTGCCGCCACCGACACCTCCACCCCCGCCACCACTCCCACCACCACCCCCACCCCCTCCACTGCCGCCACCGCTACCTCCGCCACCCCCGCCAGCCCCTCCAGCACCCTTGCCCCCCTTGCCCTTGCCGGTGCGGCGTCTCCCGCTCGGGGCAGACGCAGCGCCGACCGACTCGAGACCAACGAGGTCGGCCGCAGCAGTAGAGGCAACAGAGGGCAAAAGAGGGGAGGGGGAACACCCCTCAAAGATGGGGGTGCGAGGGTCACCACAAGAGGCTCCTACAGCTACTATGCTCTTTTCTGCTGCTAGGAGGGCCTTCTCGAGGAGGTCAACGGTGAGAGTGGTGGGGCAAACTGAGAGGAAGCGGTCCCTGACTACGCGAAGGGAGTCAGGGAGACGGGTGACTATGTAGTAGAGGGTGATGTACATGGGGGGGGGGTTCTTGGCGCAGAACTCAGCAGGAAGCGCAGCGCGGTAGCGAGTGTCACTAGTGCGGAGGTGCGTAATGAGGTCAGCGACTGTGGGAAAGGCAGCAAGGTCAGGGAAGAGGTACGGTAGCATGAGGCGGCTCAGTGCAGCAGTGGCAGGGGAGGAGTAGCGCGCAACTACAGCATCGTACAAGGTGTGAGCACTCTTGTACTGGCTAAAGTGCGCACGCTCAGAGGTAGGCAGGTGGCGACGCACAGCAAGACGTGCAGCAGCATCGCGCGTGGCCCACTGTGAGCGAACAGTGGCGTCAGCATCAGCAGCGGGGGCAGGAGAGGCACCAGAAGTGAGGTCAAAGAGGGAGAGGCCGTCTGCCCTATCGCACTGTAAGAAAAGCTGCAGGTCATCTATCCAGACGTCAAAGTCAATGGCCCGACCCTCAGCGTCAAAAGAGAGGACACTAGGGGTAGCCATGACAGCAGTAGACTAGCAGCGCAAACAGTAGGGTGAGGGCAGTGCTGTGAAAGAGGCGCTGTTCTTACCGGACAGGGCGGCTCGGGCGGCTCGACGGCTCGGCTGCTGGGCGGCTCGGCGGCTCGGCTGCTTGGCGGCTCGGCGGCTCGGCTGCTGGGCGGCTCGGCGGCTCGGCTGCTGGGCGGCTCGGCGGCTCAGCTGCTGGGCGGCTCGGCTGCTGGGCGGCTCGGCTGCTGGGCGGCTCGGCGGCTGGGCGGCTCGGCTGCTGGGCGGCTCGGCTGCTGGGCGGCTCGGCGGGGCCGCTGAGAGGGCGGCGTCCGGGGCCGCTGGGAGGAGGCGGCGGGGCCGCTGAGAGGAGGCGGCGGGGCCGCAAAGGTAGGTGGCGGGGCCAGCAGGTAGGTGGCGGGGCCAGCAGGTAGGTGGTGGGGCCGCACAGGTAGGTGGCGGGGCCGCAAGTAGGTGGCGGGGCCGCTGGTAGGTGGCGGGGCCGCAGGTAGGTGGCGGGGCCGCACAGGTAGATGGCGGGGCCGCGGGTAGGTGGCGGGGCCGCTGGTAGGTGGCGGGGCCGCAGGTAGGTGGCGGGGCCGCAGGTAGGTGGCGGGGCCGCACAGGTAGGTGGCGGGGCCGCGGGTAGGTGGCGGGGCCAGCAGGTAGGCGCCGGGGCCGCACAGGTAGGCGTCGGGGCCGCAGGTAGGCGCCGGGGCCGGAAAGGGCGGCGTCAGGGCCGCAGGGCGGCGCGAGGGCCGCTGGGTAGGCGACGAGGCCGCAGGGCGGCGGATCGGGGCCGGGTAAGGGCGGCGCGATGGCCGCGGGGTAGGCGACGAGGCCGCCGGGCGGCGGGTCGGGGCCAGGAAGGGCGGCGCGAGGGCCGCAAGGCAGGCGACAGGGCCGCTAGGGCGGCGCGACGGGGCGAGAAAAAAAAGGAGGGGGGGGGAGCGCGACTCGGGCTAGGACTGAGCGCGCTCCGGGCAGAAAAAAAATGTCGAATTGGTGGGCCCTAGGAACAGTTCCCACGAGGGAACCTGCTCGATACCATGTTAGAATAGAAACGAGAATGGATGACTAAGGGAAAGTTGGGTACAAAAATACAAACCCTAGAAAACTGTACCCCATATGTGCTACCCCACTATAGCCTACAGCAGCTATGTCATATAAATCTGACAATGTCTTCTCTTCGCAGCCGTCACCTGTCGCCCCGACCTCTCATACTCCGCAAGCCAGCTCGCCACCTACCTCAAGAAGCCTGAAGCAGAACATCTGGCGGAGCTCGACCGCGCTCTTCACTACTTCGTCAGCACCCCAACGATCGGCCTAACTTACTACAAGAACGCAACCACACCGACTAAGTTAATCGGCTACGTCGACGCTGATCACGCTGGCGACTCCGACAATAGGCGCTCCCGCACCGGCTACATCTACCGCCTCGAACCTATCGGACCTATCTCTTGGCAGTCGAGCAAGCAGGAATTAATTGCTCTCTCGTCAGCTGAAGCAGAATATATTGCACTCTGCTCAGCCACCAAGGAAGGACTCTATCTTCGCGAGCTGCTGGAAGAAGCGAAGTTAGCCGAGTTACCCAACTTTACCCTGTTCTGCGACAACCAGTCGGCAATTCGCATCGCCAACAAGAACGGCTTCGCGAACAGGACGAAACACATCGCCCTGCGATATTTCTTCGTGAAGGACGAGATCGAGAAGGGAAGGCTCGAGCTGTCATACTGTCCCACGTCCGAGATGGCAGCTGACTACCTGACCAAGAAGCTCGGAAAGCAGAAGTTCGAATACTGCATGCTGCTGACTGGACAGAGCCACGTCAGCGACACTCCAGAAGCGAAGGGTAGTGTTGGAAACAATCGGTCCTAAGCGCCTCTGTCGTGTCGAAACACTAAGACACAAAAGAAACGAAGTATAACGAATTACCGGCGAGTCAACCCTCGGAGGTTGAAAGTAACTGTTGGAGGTTACGCTTAAGTCAAAGGTCAGCGACCTTTGACCTGACAAAGTACAGCGCGACAGCAAGGACAAACAACTGACTCGGTATTGAGCAGTTGCCCGAGTCGTCACTGTATCGAACCGCAACAACAATAGTAAAACGGTTATTAACTGTATCTCTTCGTATTCCTTGTACTCTTATAAAAGCTTGTATCTCTTTGTTTTAATCAACTTACTTTGCCTTCACATACTAGCGCAAGGTGGTTCACAACTCTTTAATTAACGCTTCCGCTACTACACCAACTCTACCCAGAGTTCACCCCTGCAAAGATCCTAAGGGTTTTTCAGCCCAACATTTACAAGGTTGGGAGCTGCAAGGAACAAACAGGTTGTAACTAGTTAATGCACAATCACGAGTGAAACCTATCTGACACGGCAGCATGTAAAACACTGCTGTGCAGTATCGCGGGGTACGCAGACATGGGGCAGCAGAGGTTACTAGTGTTGCAGGCAAAGGAGGATAGGTCTCCAATGGGGGGGAAACTTCTTGGAAGCCGAGGAAGCAAGGCGATCTGCCTGGAGCACAGAATGAGAGTAGGTGCATGGAACAACGGGAGTGAGGATGCGGAGGGCGTGGGAGGTGGAGCAGCAGGGTCTCAGGGGCACCTGGGGGTCCAGAGTGGAGCCTGATAGGCATGAGGGGGGGAGGCTGATCCGGGGGAACAGGGGGGCGGTATAGCAGCATGTTGAAAGGTGGGAGATCAAGGATGAGGCGAGCTGTGGGAGTCACCAGGGGGGAACGAGCCCGACCCGGAGGGAGAAGGGGGGACGGCGTCGTAACGACGAAAGGCACGAAACTGGGAGGAGAGGCGGGTTGGAAGCACCGGGAAGAGGGGGGGGGAGGGGTGGTGTGAGCTGAGACCGTGAAGGGTGAAACAAACGCGACAGGGGTGCTGGAGAGGGAGCCAGGGTGGTCCAAGAGAGGTGGCTGGGGGCCCGACAGGCTTCCCGAAGCATAAGGCCGAACGCCAGCAGTGGCAAGAGAGGAGGGGTGAGCGCAAATGCGTTGGCCACAGCGATTCACGTGAGCGGGCTGGCAGCCTGATCGGCATTCCGAGTCCGAAAGCCATGCGCAAAGGCATGGGTGTTGAGGTGAGGTGGAGGCAGCGAGGCGATACAGAGAGCGACATTGCAGAACGTCAAGGAAAGCATATAATTCTGTGGCTTGAAACGACTGACCGTGGCTGGAGGGTGTGCGGTGCTACTTACCCGAGAAGGTGAGCGAAAGTGGTTGCACGGACAAGCTTGGGGTTGCCACCGCTGCCAGACATAGAAGTACGGCGAAGGTGAGGCGAGAACGCAGTAGCACAAAGAGCGGGAAGGGCGCAGCGCGGGGGCGGGCGGCAAGCTTTCCGTTCCACGCCAGTGGCGCCGACCGGACTCGCGAAGGAGCGACGTGGAGGCGAGGCGCGCGGCCAAGCCTAGTTGGGAGCGTCGGCATGCTTGGCAGAAAAATTGGGAGAGGCGTGAAGGGGGGGCGAACACAAATAGCCGGAGATAGCAAAGAGTTGGGCAAAAACGTGAGGACGGGGAAGCGAGAGGGGGCGGAGCAATGAAAAACAGCGCGTGTTTATGCGGACAAGTCCCTGGCGGAGGCGGGGGGGTTATCCGTCGGCGGCGAGCGAGAACATCGTAGGGCTTCCGGCGACCCTGAACTGCTCCAAGGTGACAGCGAGAGCGAGAGCAGGTGAGCGGTAGCGCGCGAGAAGAACTGAGAGAATGCGAGCGAGAGCGAGAGCGTGAGGAACGAAAGGCGAAGCTTTTCGGGTTAAGGAGTAGGGTATGAAAATAGGGCGGGTTTGACCTTGGAGTCGCTACGACCTGAGCCCTGCATGTCGGCGTAAGGTTAGCAAAGGAGATCGAGGTGAGCAGCGGAAGCAGACCGAAGAGGAGGACCAACTTACCTGGCGCCGAATCGATGTCGAGTGACGGGAACCAGCCTGATCGGCGACGGTTTGACAGTCGAACGGTGGAATATGCAAGTAAGCTGGGGCTGCGATTATCCGCGGTAGGTAAAAAACTAGGTGACAGCCTAGGTGGCGACATAGTCGGGGTAGGTGGCGGAGAGGTCGTTCTCAGTTTGGGGGGGGGGGGGAGGTTTGGGGGATGAATCCGCCGAAGGGCGGAAGTCCTAGAAAAGGTTCCTAAACCCTGTTCGATAGCCTAACGGAACGGGGACGCGGGGGGTTGGTTTTGTGAGTTTCATCCAGAACCAGGCGCAACAAAATTTCGCAACCACTAAACTTTTCCCCCTCCCGTTCCGTTGCAAAACAAACACCTGCTATCGAACAAGGCCTTGGCTGGTTTGGAAACCCCCAGTCCCCTCCCTCTTTCTGCCTCGATGGTTTCTCCCCAGACAGGTACTTGGTTCACCTGGTTTTCAAGTGATAAACCAAGACCCGTCCCTTGAGGTATGTAGGCCGCAGCTTTAAGGGCGGGTCACATTTTAACGTACCTCTTTTGTTTAGCACGGTACAGTACGTTATAGCAGGGTTGAAAACGGTCATGGGCCGCAAGTTGCATGACAAAAAAAAAAAGGTAAATCATCAAGTGCGCGGCAATTTGACGAGTTGTATTGTCAACGTACACATAACATTTGTAGGTGTACATTATTAGGATAGGATGGGTTGTACTGTAGTGGGTATCGGTTACTACTTAAACCCCTACTTGTTGTCTATCACTTCCGCCCCACCTACCCTCACGGTCCCCCTCGCTAGCGCGCCCCTTGGCAGTGCAGTCGTGCACCTTCCGTTGCGCCCCTATAGCGCCCCACCCTATCGCGCCCCTATCACTACCCCATCACGGCTCTGCCACCGCAGCAGCCGCAGCCTACGCTGCCGCAGCATCAGCCGCCAGAGCAACCGTCGTCGCCGCTTGTCTCTGCACTTCGCCTTCTTGGTCTTCTCACCCCTAATTAACTAACCACTTGCTCCCCCCTTCAACATCTCTCCCAATCTATGGTCCCATGTTTCCTCCCAAGGTCTCGCCTTCGCCCGTCTTCCTCCTCGTTCTCATCTGTCTCCTCCTCTGTCTCTTGACTTGACTCTTGACCTGATCTTCGCCATTGCAGACAGGGTTGCTCTGGCTAAGGTGGAGTCTGAACTGCAGAAGAGACACACGTGCACTGACCTTGGCGAGCTGCGCCACTACCTTGGCATGCAGATCACCTGGGACAAAGCAGCTCGCACCATCACTCTGACTCAGTCACACATGTTGCAGCAGTTCTTTCAGCGGTTCAAGCTTCAGTTCTCCACTGCACAGCCCACACCTCTTGCTGTTTACCACAGACTCACTGTCCCCTTTCATGGCGAGCCGTTTGAGCCCAGTGGTCCTTACGCAGAGCTGGTGGGCTGCCTGATGTACCTGATGACTTCTACTCGCCCGGACCTCGCCTTCCCTCTCAGCATCCTTGCTCGTTTTGTTGCGACTGGGAGATAGCATCATGCTCACTGGACAGCTGCTGTGAGGGTGGCGAAGTACCTAGCGACAACATCAGGCATGGAGCTTGTGCTTGGAGGGACACAGCGAGTCGTACTCACCAGTCACTGTGACTCCTCTTAGGCTGACGACGTCGAGACTCAGAGGTCCACGCAGGGGTACCGTTTTAGCATGGGCTCTGGCGCTGTGTCATGGAGGTCTACTCAGTCCTTGTCAGTCGCGACCTCTACCGCTGAGGCCGAGATTTATGCCGGAGCAATGGCTGCACAGGAGCTCCACTGGTTGACCTTCTTGCTCACTGGTCTTGGTGAGCGGCCGAGCTCTGCACCGACTTTTTTTACTGACAACAAGGCAATGATTCTCCTGCGTCAAGAGCCTCGACTGGAGAGCAGAGTGAAGCACATTGATGTTAGGTACTTTCTCCTTCGAGAGTTGCAGAAACGCAGACAGACTCGTTTAAACTTCGTGGCCTCCGAGGCCAACACTGCAAACATTTTCACCAAGGCCCTTCCGCCTTGTGACCATGACAGGTTTCTGTGCAGCTAGGTCTCTTGACAGAGGTTCTCGTCTACTGTAGTTCTGAGTCCTTACCTTGCTTTGCTTGTAGTATATATTTATATATTTACATATATATATATACTTGTGAACTCTGAGACTGGCCTTGTGGCCCCTTGTTTGTGCTCGGACTGTGTGGTGACGTTATGATCCACCGTGAGCTTTGTTTCATTGTGACTGGTCTTGTGACCTTATGCCTTTGTTGTTGCATGACACCCCTCACTTAGTCGATGGGGGTGTGTCAATGTGATAGACAGTAGTGAGGCATGTCATGTGGGGTACAAACATTACGGTGTGTTACATGTACCCCAAGTGATACTAATGACAACACTCTTTCTTATTCTGAGAGGAAATGATGTATTCCCGCAGCAATAAGACCCTCCCCACCTCCCTCCCCCCCCCCGCCCCTCGCCATATGTGTCAGAATCCCAACCACTAGACCATTGGGATAAAGAGGCTTGTTAAGTAGCGGGTCAGTGCACCCATAATCCCCCACGACAACGAGCCTGTAACCCTTCCCTAGGATCAATCGGGGATCACCAGTGGACCTCTGACACCCCCCCGCACTGGGATGCCCGAAGTGCATACACTGGGATTCGAACCCGAGACCTTCGCTCTGATACCATGTCAGAATCCCAACCACTAGACCATTGGGATAAAAGGGCTTGTTAAGTAGCGGGTCAGTGCACCCATAACCCCCCAGGACAACGAGCCTGTAACCCTTCCCTAGGATCAATTGGGGATCACCAGTGGACCTCTAACAATATGTTTAATGATAGAGGTACTATATTTTATCAATAACATTATGTTAGAACTACATGTGCATCTTGGTGCTCGGCTGACCAGCCATGAGGCACAAAAAATTACGCATGTCAAATTTGGATAGAGTCCCTTATCAAGATTCAATTCCGTGCCGAATCCACTGTCAATACTCGACCTCGTGCCATAATAAAAAACGAAGATCCTCAATTGAAACAAGTTTTTCCTTTGACATGTGCAAATTCATTGTGTCTTATGAGTATTAAACATGTTTATGTGTTTTACTGCACTATTATGCCCTTCTATATTGTTCACTGCTGGAATCTTCTGCTCCATGCCTTCTCTCCTGTTCCCTCTTTCTACTAACTTATTTCTCCTTTCCTCTAGTCCCCCGCGCGGGCGGGGGGCAGCAGGGTGCGCAGGGCGCGTGGGCAGTAGGGCGCACGGGGCGCGGAGCAGCAGGGCACGCTGGCAGCAGGCGACGCGAGCTGCAGGCAGGTAGGGCAGGGTAGCGCTGGGGAGCTTGCAGGGCAACGCTGGCGGCGGCCAGGCAGGGCAGAGCAGCGCTGGGGGGCGTGCAGGGAAGTGCCGGCGGCGGCCAGGCATGGCAGGGCAGCGCTGAGCAGCGTGCAGGGTAGCGCTGGAGGCGGCCAGGCAGGGCAGGGCAGTGCTAGGCAGCGTGCAGGGCAGTGCTGGCGGCAGCCAGGCAGGGCAGGGCAGCGCTGGGCAGCGTGTAGGGCAGTACTGGCGGCAGCTAGGTAGGGCAGGGCAGCGCTGGGCAGCGTGCAGGGCAGTGCCGGCGGCTGCCGGGCAGGGCAGGGCAGCACTGGGCAGCGCGTGCAGGCAGGGCAGCAGTGGCAGTGGCCGGCAGCAATAGCGGCAGTGGCCGGCAGCAGTGGCGGCAGCAGCAGGCAGCAGCTGCGGGTTGGCAGGGCAGCGCTGGGCAGTGTACAGTGCACTGCCGGCGGCGGCCAGGCAGCGTGCAGGGCAGCACTGGCGGCGGTCAGGCAGGGCAGGGCAGCACTTGGCAGCGTGCAGGGCAGTGCTGGCGGCGGCCAGGCAGGGCAGGGCAGCGCTGGGCAGCGCGTGCAGGTAGGGCAGCAATGGCCGCGGCTGGCAGCAGTAGCAGCAGTGGCCGGCAGCAGTAGCAGCAGGCAGCAGCTGCGGCTTGGCAGGGCAGTGTTGGGCAGCGTGCAGGGCAGCGTTGGCGGCGGCCAGTCAGGGCAGGGCAGCACTAGGCAGCGGTGACTGTAGTGGCTGCAGCAGGCAGCGGTGACTGTAGTGGCTGCAGCAGGCAGCAGCAACGGCTGTAGCTGCAGAGGTAGCGATTGTGGCGGCGAGCGCAGCAGCAGCTGTGGCTGTAGCGGCTGCAGCAATGGCTGTGGCTGGAGCTGCTGCAGTGGCTGTAGCTGTAGCATGCGCAGCTGTGGCTGAAGGCGCTGCAGCGGTTGCAGCTAAGGGTGTCAAAATATGTTCACATATTTTATATAATCGTTTGCAGTTGTAGTGTAGTTATTGCATCATGTTTGGTGGTGCACCTCTTTGTGTTGCTGTTTGCCTATTTGTACTCTCATTTCTCATTAGTGAAGCCTCTCTTTTGGCTTGCTATTTCCTCTCGTCACCCTCACCTAGTTCAAACCCTAAGCTACTATGCTCCTAATCTTCACAAAGGGCGGGGCGCAGCAGCAGC